CGAGATTATTTCTCTTGTAACTCCACAAACTATCTAGACCATTCTGTTAAGATGGCTGTTCCGATTATTGGACTCCTTGGTGGAATAATGCCCTCTCTACTCTCGAATCTCAAAATCACACCGGCTTACTGCACTGAAGCAGAAATCTTAGACGGACATGATTCTCGGACTTACCCCACGTTGTGGGGGGTAGTCGATGATTGATGTCGCTGGCGCGCCCTCCTGAAAGTACCAGGGCCTCAGGGGATAGGGCCTCACCAGCGCAACCTTAGGTTGAAAGATAATAATATTGCCTAACAGTAAACCCATTTACAGAGAAATTTGTTGAAAGTAGGTAAAATGAATAATATAAATATTTATGTGAAAAAAAAACGAAGAAATTATTTATTACACTCAAGTTCTATGATATTACAAGTGAAAATATCTAGTCGCATATTACAATGAATCTGGTTAACATAAAATGTATCAGAGTTTTAAATAATAAGTTGGTGTGAGATCGTGTTACATAAAAAAGACAGGATCTTCTAGTTGTTAGTCGAGAAACAAAGATCATTCAATCTAGGTATTGATAGAAAGAATATGTTGATTGTAAATAGTGAAGCTGTGGAAATGTATGCTGAGGATTTTTTGCGTGATGTGAATAAAAGTTAATTCAACCAAATCGCGTATATCATTTCGTTCTAAAGTATCATTATTGATGCAATATTGATAGTTTATTGTTGCATTCTTCCTAGTAAAAGTAATACCCTTACATTTGTTGACTTTAAGTGGAAAGCAATTTTGATCACACCAATTGTGTAATAGGTTTAGTTGATTTTGTTATAAAATACAATCTTTAACACATTCAACAGTTGTACGTACAAGGATTTAAATCGTCTGCAAACATTAATTTATTGCAATTTAATAAGTCACGAAGATCATTGATGAAAATCAAAAATGTTGGTAAATTGAAATGGCATTCAATACTCTTACGTAGATGCGGTTGTATAAGACTCCGAAGAGTTTTGCGACGTTTTTCAGGGCTGAGATAGGTCTGTAATTTTTAGTACCATCTCTTGCTTTGCACTAGCTGTGTTTCTTTCTACTGAAAATATGGAAGTCTTCAAAATAAGGTTGTGAAAAGTCGTCAGGAGGTAAGGCAAGGCTCTCAAGCAGTCTTTGAGCAGAAAAGATGGTATGTTATCATATCTGGCTGTAATAGGTATTTAGTTACCCAACAAATGATACAAATCAAAAACAAATTGAGTGAGCAATGCAATAGGCAAAAATTAATGTGGATGAAAAGTAAACTCTCTTCTGATATGTGAAAAGCGATGGAGGCAATTACTCTTCTAGGAGTTAATATAAGAAAGCCGTAAACCACCATATCCTCAAATATTTGGAAGGCGTCAACATCTTGAACGATCATCAATATGGCTATCGGAAACAAAGATAAACAGGCGACCTCCTATCGTTATTTCACCCATATTTGGAATAACGCAATCGAGAAACATGGAGAGTCAAGAGCTGTTACGCTTGATATTTCTTAGGCCTTTGACCGTGTGTAGCATGAGGGTTTGCTGGCCAAACTGCAATGCTATAGCTTTTCGGATCACTTTTGTTTGTAGCTCTTCAGCTTCCTGAAAGAACATTTCCTGCAAGTGGCCGTCGATGGATATCTCTCCAAGAATCCAATCTAATGTTTTGTTGATGACAGCACACTGATCTTGTTTAGATTCCAGGACACCGGCTGCGGAGGTTGAATATCTTAATGAGGATCTAGAAGTAATTTCGAATTGGGGTGAAATTAACCAAGTTCAATTCAATGCCACAAAAACCCAGGCATCGGTTTTCTTCAAAAAAATACCCAACCGGATATAATAATGTCAGGTCAGACTACTCTGCTTTCTGCTTCGGTAAGTGTGTTAGGGGTTGAAATGGACACCACCACCAATATGCCCTGGCACAATCATGTCGCTGTAACTGCAAAGGCTGCTTCTCAAAAGCTTTGAACATTGTTCCGAACCAGAAAATTGTACACATCTCAGCAACTTTTGATGCTTTACAAAGCTCAGATCAGACCTTCTTTGGAGTATTGTTCTCGTGCATGGAGCTCCGCCCCCAAACATACCCTGAAACTGCCGGATTCCATATAGAAAAGAGCCATCCGCCTGATTGGAGACGCGAACATCACTTGCAATTTTGATAGTCTGGAATATCGAAGAAAGGTTCGAGATTTGTCTCTCTTCTATAGATACTGTCACGGGAAGTGTTCAAGTGATTTGGCACATTTGAATACACCAAGAGCGCTACATATCAGAAATACACGACGGACTGTGGCTGCTCATCGTTTTGAGGTTCAACTCAGTACATTTCGAACCTCACTGTTCAAGAACTCTTCCATTTGGATTTAATCTCCAGCGATTCAAATCCAATGTGAATCACTACTTTAACACAGGCACCGCTCTAAGAGCGCCTAAAGGATTTTCCTGTAGTCCTTGTGTTTTGACCTTAAATATTCTCTACGGTGGCTCACCCCTATAACTTTTTATTATTGGAGATAGAAAAATAAAATTTGGGGGTTGGTTTTTGACATATTTACTTGTTTTGCTGTACTTCTGGTTTGACCGGAAATGACCCCAACTTTCGATTTTTAAACGAGACATCTTATATATTTTTACTTATTTCGATCGAGAATGACATTCTAAATCCAACAATACTTCACTTGTCAATATTTGACAAATAAAATAATTTTTATTCCAATTTTTATTTTTTTAATCTAGAATACCATGGATCGTGTAAATCGCTACATTCTTGATCAAGTAACATGGGAAAACTACGACTTTGATGCTTATGACTTCACAGTCGTTTTAAGAATAATTTCACAGTCGCAAATATGAATTTTTCCAGTTAACTTGATTTTTTCATCTGGAAAGGGGGTGGCTCGTCGGCTTTTTGTGAAAGATCATTTCCTTACGAATAATTTGATGCCACATACTTTCACTTTATTTTCTCTATTTTTCTGAATAATTGTAAGAAAATCGCAAATTAGTCCATTGAGGTTATAAATTTTCAAAATTGCCTCCTCCTTGATCACGCCAAAGTTCAATTTTTTCAATTGTGCGCGCATCACATTGATTAGCTGTTCCTCAGTGATGTTCAGGAATGCCACCCTTACTTTATGCTCTAGTTCTTCACGGAGTAGCTGATGTTGTATTGTAAACCTGATTTTTAATTGTTCCCCAGAGAAAAAAATCTAGATCTGGTGATCTAGATTATGAAAAAGAAATAATACAAATAATACAAATAATTCAAATTGAACTATAATACACAACCCCCAAATTCAATTTTTCTATCTCCAATAATAAAAAAGTTATAGGTGTGAGCCACCTTAGAGAGTCACCCGGTATATATAACTCACAGTATTTCGTCCAGTAGGTGCCTTCATTGATTTCCTGTCGATCAGTTGCCTCCACTGTTGACGGTACCTTTGATTTTACCTCGTCATTCTTTGATACCTCATTTTTCTTAATTTCATAAATCTGGTATGGAAAAATCATAGAAACCATCCAAGATATCTTTCCATAGCTATTGAATGTTCTGTGATGCACTTTATATTTCATGTCAATAATTTTCAGAAAATATCACCTCCCAGTAAAAGATCAGTTTCATTAGGAACATTATTAACATCAACATCAGATATTATATTCCGAATCGCCTACAGTACGATTATGGGTTATTACCTCTCGTCGGTGCAGGACAGATCCGGGGAAGTAGTTATTTTCTGTCAGGCACAACAAACTGTTTAGGGAAGTTGAGAGAGGTGAATGTTTCGAATTTCATTCAATTTTTTTTTGTACTTTTGTATTTCTGCCCGATACAGTCTTCAGACTTATTTTATCTTCTGTTAAAGTGGTGTTACACCGGTTGCTTCTTTCCCTCTTGGCCTTTTATTCGCAAAATAGAGCTGTTACAATAGTCTATTTCCGTAACCAGCGGAGTAATAAATCATTTTTAAATTGCTGTTCTATAGCGGTCCATAATTGAGTGGGACAATAAGTGGAAAATGCAGTACAGTTTTATTGTAATACAGAATGTTTGCATACGGTGAGTAACAATAATATGGAACACTCGCATTATTAATTTAATTATCTCAGTACGTTTGTATATCTTCTCGATTATTTTCAGAATTATTTTTATAGAAGATTCAATACATTTTTGATGGTGGCATACGTTCAAAATAGAGAAAGGATAATGAAATTTTCCCAATAAGCTGAAAAAATGTATAGGGTCAATCGCCCAGTGAATGAACAAATAAGGCAAGTTTCAGGTTCACACTCCCAACACGTCAAAACAATAATCACACAAGGGCTGTAAAAGGTAGTACAACATTATTTGGGTGTTTAACATGGTGAGGAACTTTAAAGAACACTATCCCGAAGCCTGATTTTTTTTATTTTATCAACTAATTGGAGAGGTTACCAAAAACCTAGTGAATGAACAGGTTATGCCAATAAAAGAACAAACAAACTCCAGTCAATGAACTGTAATTTATTATCAACGTCAACAAGTTATAAATCGTTACTGGTCGCTATTTAGGTTAGTACTACCATATAGACCTCTGAATTTTCATCATATTTTGGTTCAGGTATATTTTTCAAAACCTGTTTCTCCTTGTACCAGGCTTGGTCAATTTTAGTAGGCCATATCCAACCTTTTTCATTTTTTTTTTCTCCATAACATTAATTTCGTACTCTTTGTTCTCTTTGTCGGCATCCTTTATTAGCCCTGGGTATTTTTTACCACGAAAAAGAACCAAAACGTAATCTCCAATCGGGAAATCTGAAACGAATGAAATACATCTAGTTAAGTATTTCAACACGAATATTCTACTTGGTATTACCAATATCTGTTTCGACAGTCACAAGTTGTTTGTCTTTAGAAATAATTTCTTTTCGTATTGATTCTCGACGTCGTTTTTTGTGTTTTCATTTTGCCGTTTTTCAAATTTCTTTTTTCTGTTTAGTATTTTCATTGGTTTTGAAATACATTCTGGAGAATGTTTCTCGTTTGGTGCATTGCCTGGAATTGAAAAATAAATAAATAAAAAAAAATGAATTGTATACCAACTTAATCCTACCTCGGGTTTCCGTACTACTCTTTTGGTCTGTGGGCACAGTTTCTGAAAAAACTTCTTTACTTTTCGTTTTCTTCTTAGTTACTTTCGATTTGTTGATGGCCGAATTCTTCAAAGTCTTTTCCAATTTTCGTCTTTTTATTGCAATTTCCTTCTCAGATTTCTTCCGTTCCTGCTCTTTATGATACGCTAGCCATTGTTCAGAAGATATTGCAAAAGGCATTTGGTCACGTGTCACGTTTTCTTGAAGGGACATCTTGCTTTGGCCAATGAAGGTGTTGGCCCCACAAACTGTTCAAGTTTTCATTATTTACCTGGTTGATAATAACGTTGGATATAATATTTATTCGTTTTTCATTACTACTAATTTCCTGTAATACATTTTCACTTTTCGCCAAAGTAACTTCTGCAGGTATCATATCTCTATTCTCCACAATATCAAACACCCTATCAAGAATACTTTTCATGATTTCTGAGCAAATCAATTCATTTTCACATTCATCAGCCAGATCATTCATTAGGATCGTATCATCGGGATAGTTAAATTCACTAATATCATTTATTGGGTCATAAATTATTCCGTTAATTTCTATAGGGAGATCGTTTGAGAAAGACTCTGGTAGCAATTCTGACTGTTTGGTATTTGTTTCTCTTGAAATCAGTTGACTATCAGTGTTATTGCATATGTTTTGTTCGTCAGCATGGGATTTGCAATATTCATGAAATGAAAGGATGTCATCATTTGCATCTGATGAATTTTTGAATTTGTTTACACCAAAATAGTGTACCAGAACTTTCAAACTCGATTTTTAATCTTCACGACCTAACGCGCTTACAACTGTTTTTTGGAACACTTCATTTCGTCGGGTAGATATACATTTAGTATAATCGACATATTCCACATCTAACGGATATAGTCCGCAACTTTTGAATCCACTAATAATGGTACTCGGTTTACAGGCCCGATCGAATGCTTCTTTGAATAATCTGCAAAAAGTATGTCGTGTTATTGATGTCGTGGTTTTTTGTTTATGAGCACGACATGTTATTTTCCATTCCACTTTCAATGGCCTAAAGTTAGCAAAGTCACAGGGCTGTAATATATGGGTTGCATTTGGCAAGAGACAATAGAGAAAGATCTGTTTTTCACGACAGAATTCATAGACTTCTAGGTTATAATGGGATTTGTGTCCATCAATGAAAAGTATTACCGGAAATTCAGTGCCCTCTTTGATAAGCCAAGGCTAGAAGACGTTGGCTATATACTCAAAAAATATTACACTGGTCATCCAACCCGAATCAGATCGTCCAATTGACTATCCTTCTGGTACAGAAGCAGCCAATTCCTTGGGTATTCGTTTGTAAGGAAATACAATCATCGGAGGAACTACCGTTCCACTTGCTGCAAAATTACAAAGAACAGTAATAGATTCTTTTTCCTTGCCTGGTGCAATTTCATAGAAATTTCTGAAGTTTTTTCTTGCAGACCCCAGAACAAGACCTAATTCCATTGATGTTTTAACTCCTGTCTCATCGGCGTTGAATATACGTGAAGGATCATTCAAGATTTCCAACATATTCTCATTTTTCAAAAATGTTCGTAGATCTTCGAACCATTTCCGAATTGCCATTTCGGTAACTGAAGCTCTATTCCGTTTAGAAATGTCGGAGTGTCTTCGCAGAAATAACTGTACCTACCCACTTTTCTCCCGGTTTATCATCTACGAATTTATTTTCCCTAGGACAGGCCTTTAAAACTTTTTGAAACAGCGGTTTTGACTTCTTCAGGATGCATAGGAAAGCCGAGTTTGGTTTTGCCTAAAATCCAGTTAGCAAGCCTGTGTTCCTCTTCACTGGTTAGTATGGTAGGAGGGCCCATTTTTCTCTCGATAGGGACCTTTTTCGTTAGCTCATTATGAAGAGTTGATTTTGGGATTCCATATTGTACTGATGCTTTATTTAAACTCATTCTTCCAGCATTAATTGAATTCAATGCCATGGACAGATCGTTTTCTGTGTATTTGAAGCGTTTGTAGTTCGTACTCATCTAGAAATCAAATCCGTTCCAGTGAATGAATTCCAGTGAATGAACGGTGTTCATTTACTAGCTGACGGTGAATACGTCGAAACCAAACTTTTAAAGTTGATTTTTGCATATTTTCAAGCCTGCACGAAAATCCAGTGAATGAACTCCCCGTTCATTCATTGGATTTCAGTAGAAAACGTTATCCAGTGAATGAACACCCTGAATTTTATGCAAAATATGGAGTTTTCAACAAAAAAGTAATAAAATATTCAAATGCGTACCTTGACATGCATAAAATATCAATTTCATACAACTGAGTCTAACACTTTTAGATATAAAATATCTAAAACTGTCGGGATCGATAACGAAACGTTATATAAAAATGGCGTCCTTCACATCAATTGTTGACACTGCTGTCTTCCATTTGTTGCTTTAGACTAACGAAACGGTCTTTGAACAAACCACGATTTCAAACAAATATATTCTTATTATACATTGAAGTATTAAACAGTGTTCATTAACTGGGTTTGTTCATTTTCTGGTCGAATGACCCTACAAAGAAAGATATATTTTAGTTATAAGTTCGAAAAAAATATGAATACTCTCCTAGTTCATCCTCACAAGAATTATACAATCTTTCATTCTTTCACCTTAGAATTTGTAAAAAATTCATTGAAATTTAAAGATTCACTGGTGCATATTCCGAAATATTCAAATAACCATGTACATTGAAGTTGATAAAATGTAAATGCTTAACTGCGAACAAATTTGCCAACTTAAAAAATGATCCACTATTTATTTTTGATGAATATGCAATAATATGATTCTATGCAATAAATAATAAATTCAAAACAAGCACTGTTTTCACTCTCCAACACTGGAAGACTCTTTCTGGCGCGAGTTTCACCAACCTCATTGACATCTTCAGGAGATGAAGTACACTAATCCCTAACTCAAAAACAGGTATCTACTTATATCTAGCAAGGTACATTTTCACACTTACTTTTAGATACAAATCAATGATTTCGGTTAGAAATTCGCAGGAAATTTTCTCGTGAAAGTTCCAGAATTTAAAAAAAATATGGCCGAATGGTTTGAAGCACAAAAAAGAATTAAAGGACACACCTCAATTAACCAGCACATCATAAAGCAAATTGATTTATTTCTATACTTGCTGTTCAAGGAAATTAAAGAGTGTAGTTTGAACATGACAAACTGTCGAGGTCCAAGATACGACAATGGCTCCAATATGTCAGGTGAACATAATGAAATTCAAGCCTGAGTACTGGACAAATTTCCTTCGGCTGTGTTCATTCCTTATGGGTGACATAGCCTAAACCTAGTGATTACTGATATGGAGCAAAATCATCAATTGAGTCTACGTCTTTGGTATTCTACAACGACTCGTTACCATCTTTTCAAGTTCAACAAAGCGCTGATGTATAATAAATGGCCATACTAAAAGCACTTACTTTAAAGCAAGTGCGTGTGAAAAGCGTTGGGAAGCTTGCATAAGCAGGCTGTCAGATACCAATATGTGAAAGTTTTTTTGTATGAGTCCTCTGAGAAAGTGCATCTGAAGAAACCTTTACGAGAGAAGTTTTTTATCCAGCTTGAGAGAGTTTTTGTAGCTACTATCGTTAGCTTTTGCTAAACTGTATCTCTTCTATAGAGTGCTGTAAAAAATGCCAGTTTGTTGAGATACATTGTATACCGAAATGCCTCTACTTTTAAGAACAGATACAGCATTTTCTAATGAATCCACTGTCCAAGAAACTTTTGTGGTTGTCCGATTTCTTTTATGTGGCATCTAAAACAAAAAACAAGGCTTTTTATATCTTTGAAATTACTAAATGGGGTAATGTGAGCTATGTCGGGTAATGGAAACCTAGCTAGGCTACCATTTTGAAAAGTAATAACATAAAATTCTTATTTCTATTTTCAATCACAATTCAACTAATTGGATTTGTTAGTGAACGAATATAGGGATATAATAAACATAAATACAATAAAATAAGAATATAATTTCATGCTTACCTTGATGCTGGTAATTGGCAATTTTTTGTAAGCGTGAAGCGAAAAACACATAACCGTTCCTCGTGACTAAACGTAAACTAAACGTAGGGTACTAACGGTTCGAGCGCGTCAGGCGAAGTCCGCTGCTGGTTAACCGAAGTAGCGAAGTACTTACGATCGCGCTAATGTGCATGCATTCCGTTCAATCGCCGTAGCTCCTATTTCCCGACCATTCTCATTGCCCCGCGTTTCCCTACCTCGCAGCATAAGAATTCACAAGATTCTCTGTAGAGAGCCGACGGCTGTGATTGGGTCGCTGAAACGGCCCGATGAACCATTTACGACCTCTAGAAAAAAAAGCTTTTGATAGAAAACCACTTTCCTGGAAACCATACTCTTGATAACAGACCTCCCCTCTTTGAGGGCGCCAATCGCCCAAAAAAGATCGATTGGGACGTCAAGTCGTTTCAGCCCTTCTAATATAGAGTCTGGCGTGGAGCTACATACCATCTAGTTGGTTAGTAGCAAGGATGGTATATATATCTAAAGTGGGTCGTAAAGACCCACTGACTTTCTTGCAAAGGAGGGTGCTATAAGTACCTTGATCGGACCGGAACCTGTCATTGGCATTGCTTTAGGTTTTGCTAAACAAACAATGAACACCTGGATAGCAAGAAGATGTAAAGCCTTCTGGCAAAAACTTCCAGGAATGGCTCACTCCAAAGCGCGCATTCACCCTTCAAAACTTGAAACCAAACAGTTGTGAGACTACAGTAGAGTAAACTACGATGTCTAACAGGCCTCCTTACAGGTCACTGTCGTCTAAATCACCATATGCAGAAATTCGGGCTGTCGCAAGACAGTGTGTATCATCTCTGTTTGAAAATGATGAAACTGCAGATCATATACTTTGTGCCTGCCCTGCTGCGGACCGCATCAGGTTTTCAGAATTTGGTAGGACCACACTTTTACCATCTGACCGAAAAGATCACTCACCACATAAACAAATCGGCTTCTACAAGTAGTTGGGTTTATTTGGTCGAGTTCGAATAGGTGTGAGCCACATTAAAACCCTTTCGAGTTGCGGTGGAGGGTCGAATAGGCCCACTCACTTTTGACCCAACCTAACCTAACCTTTGGATATCAAAATATCCTTCAAAATTCAAATAACTGCAAAAACCAAATTTCATGCGCTTTCGAATTGTGTGAAAAATGCAATTTATTTGGGCCCACTATTACAGTATAAAATAATGAATGCATGTAAAAAAAATATTTTGCTGTTCTTGCTACTATTGCTAATATACTTCGATATCATTTTATATTTTTAACCCTTGTCTTTTCATTCAAATAATTAAAAAAAATATTGTAATTTTTACCACCTCGAGACCCAACACAGCTCAACTTTCGAGCCTGATCAACAGGAAGTGTCATATCTTAATGAAGACCTGGAAGAAATGTTATTTTAGAATAACTATAACCAAGTACAATTTCATAGTAAGGAACAGAAATTCCAGCTGTCACTTTTTTTCTCTACTTTCATTGGCTATATCAACTAATTCGTTGGGTATCAGATTGAATGCCTTGAATTCCACTTTATCTATTCCACTAGATCTTTTCCTTGCTTAATAAACTTCACAAGGCCATTTTTCTGTATGGGCGTTTTAAAAATGTTCATGTAGTGCTTTGGCACCTCCATAAAAAAATGGCCTATGAGGCTCTCCGGCTTATCAAAACTGCATAATGAGAAATAATATAAAATTTGCATGCTAACCCAGGCCAATCAACAAAACAGGTAAGATATAGGACAGCCTTGTATTGAAAATAAAAAAATAACAATTTAAACTTGAACTTCACTTTTAGATCTTTTCCTTGCTTAATAAACTTCACAAGGCCATTTTTCTGTATGGGCGTTTTAAAAATGTTCATGTAGTGCTTTGGCACCTCCATAAAAAAATGGCCTATGGGGCTCTCCGGCTTATCAAAACTGCATAATGAGAGATAATATAAAATTGGCACGCTAACCCAGGCCAATCAACAAAATAGGTAAGATATAGGACAGCTTTGTATTGAAAATAAAAAAATAACAATTTAAAACATATTCATATATATTACACCTAAACGTGGAAAAATAACATGTTATTATCAATCATATTTATGATGTCTACAGTGATAATGAATAGGAAGTTATTTGAAGAAACGGTAGAAAACGATAAATGAATTCTTCAAGTCATGCTGTCGAGAAGGATATGACTTTTGTCAATGTATTAGTTAAATGTCAGTATACTTTTTCGGCAGTGTAAATTATCAAAATTTTATAAATCAGATATTTAAAAATACTGAAAAGTAAATACATATATCAACGGTGTGTATAAAATTACTCATTTTCGGGAAGATGGCTTGTACACATAAAAATCAGCCTCTCGAAAATTCAAGATTAGTGATAAAGAAACTCAAAATAAGCTAGGAAATCGTCAGATTACTTGAAGAAGATATTTTACACATTCTTATCTAACCTTGAATCAATCTAAACTTTTTCCTATAAATGATCTGTTAGAGTTGTTCAGTATGAACATTGTTATGATGAAATAAAGGTAATCAGTCAAAAATTAGGTTTTTGGTCACAGTTCTTGCAAGAACCATTCGGACATACGACAAAACCCATATTCAAGAATGTATACTACTAAAATGTTGAAACTCATAGGTACACATTGCCTGAATGAATTGATGTCTTAAGTGATAAAAAAATTCAAATGACAAAACCGTGCAATTCGGGTGTTTAGAGGTAGCCTAAATGGTAATTAATGAACCAGTTATAACCATCCATGGATTTTTTTATTTTGATGGTTATGTAAATTTTCATATAAGCTACTTGTGAAAAATTTTCCTTAAACAAAAGTCAACACGTAAAAATAATGATAGACAAAACTTATTTTTCACATAACTTATCCTAACATTGCTACATGGTGAAGGCATCCATCACAAAACAAGAAAATGCATTAAGTTTTCTTTAATAAATATCCATAATACCTTTAACTAAAGAAGCTATATTTGGCCTAAGAGCAATACTTCTGACAAGTAGATTAAAAACTAAGTGGTTAGGTTAACACAATGCCAGATTAACTTAATTAGGTAGGAAGATTAATATTTATAATTCATTATCACAAAGTAAAAATTGTATCAAAAATCTAATTTCAGTTCTGTACTTAATTATTATTGATCATAAAATTTGGATTGAAATATTCATCCACTGATACAGTTGGGGTTGGTGGTGAATTGCAAGTATTTAAAGATTCAATATCAGCGATATTTGAAGAACTGGCTTTGTTATCAACTTCTTCAATCTGATTTTCATTGTTCTTTCCTGATGAATAAATGTTTTCATCTCTCTGAGCATTACCTGGAATATCACCATAGTCTTTAGAATTCAAGTTATTCAAAATTTCCTGAAGCATATTCAGTTCTTCTTGGGTATTATCTATATATAAACCAAGATTTTGCTTTGGATTCTCTAATATACTAAACCTTGCTAAATTCTTAGACATATTAGATGAAATATCAACTTCATCCGTTGGGCTCTGAATTATTGGTTCCAAATCTGGAAATTCGTTAATATTGCTTTCTGGCATTTCAACCAGTTCCGGTTGTGAGATACTCACTGAATAATTTTTACAAAAATTTTCAGGTTCAGGAGGACTTTCTATAATTGGAAAAGTTTCCTGAACTCTATTTGTTATGTCAAAACTTTCACCTTGTGTCTGGAATTCGTAAAATATTTGTTCCAAGGAATTATCAGTGGACGCAGTTTGGCTTTCCTTCAACATTTCAAGTAGATTATTTTCAATTTCTGGTTGCACTGATGCCTTCTGATTTACCTGTTGTTCATTGAAAGAAGAAACTTCAGTCACTTTTTTTTTAATTTTTTTCTGAGGAGATTGTAAACCTCTGGACATCGATTCCGAATGGTTATTTCTTTTCTTATCCATAATTTTTATTCGATTTGAAAACGCAATTTTGGGATCCAAAGCTTTTGTGTGGTCATGAGTATTGTTTTTTGTACTGTTTGAATAACTTGTCCCCTCCATGGAAACAAGTTGGCTATTTCCCCCTTTAGTTTTACTAGATGAATTAGCTTGAGGATTATTGAAAATTTGCATATTAAAATCAGTTCCTGGCTTAACAAATGAAACCATATTTGTAGATTCAGAATTTGCATTTGAACTATTTTCCATTGGTGGACTTTCTACTACTGGTAAATTCTCAAATATTTGATTTTGCTCACTGTCAATAAGTAGGGTATTATCTGATTGTATTTCTGTCAGCTCTTGCTCCAATGAATTTTCAATTGACAGTTTTTCATTGTCTTCCAAAATTTTCAACAATGATCTTTGAATATCAGATTGCATTTTTTCTCTTGGCTGATTTCCAGGTAGTTTTACGGAATAGGTGATTCTTCCAGATTGAGACATATTCTTTGGAATTCTTCCAGCCTGATGGCATGGCTCATTTAAAGCTAAAATTTCTTTCAAAGACTGAGTGTTTTTCTTTGGAAGAGAGGAATCTCTTGAAAACATGTTTGTATTTCTATTGCTTTCTAAGTGACCCTCAGGAAGTTTCAAGGAATATGTTATAGTTTTACTGGAGCCCGGTACAGTATATCTTCCTGTTCTGATATCTTTCAACGTATCTTTAGAATGCTGGTAATCTAACTCTAGCAGTGTAGGCCCAGGTTGGAGTTTATTTGTGTTGATATTTCTAGGAACTCTGATATTTTGTTTTGAGAATGATGTTTGATGTGTGTGAATATAAGTGATTAGAAAATGTATCAATTTATTAATAACAGAAGACTGTTTTGCATACTTCATTCGTAATGAATTTAACTCATTCCATAAAGCAGTATTGTCCTGTTTTAACGTTGACATTTCTTTGTCAATTTGAGAATGCCTACTCTTCATGGCCTTTATATCCTTCAGAAGATTATTCAGTGCTGCAGCTTCATTCACATTTGTTGTAGACGTTTGTTTGTGGACAGCAGGATTCTTTCGACGAATAAAGACAAGCACTTGGGGAACACCTTTCATAAAGCAACTATGTTCATATTGTAACTTATCTTCAACATTAGATACCTTACGAAAGTTATAAAAATTTAGCTGTCGCACAAAACTGGATAGATTGTTATGTTTAAAATAATGTGGTAACAATTTTGTGGTAAACTGGAGTCGGTCATGTATGATAAAGCTATCTCCAACGTCATTCCAACCTATGATATCTCCTTCGTCCCTATCATTTACCATGTTCCATAGTTTTTTTATGAAGAGTGGTACTGTCATCCCAACATCAGATGGTTCTTCCAACACTTCTACTATCTCTTCCATGATCCCTTCTTCAAAACTACAAGTATTTGAAATGTATATATTTTATTCTATCATTTAGTTACATTTTTTTTACGTTTTTTTATAAGAAGATGAGGTACTTGAGGTTGGTCAAGCTTTTAGAAAAATCACATTCCTTTCCACTTTTCACTTTAAAAATATATTTCAAATTGACATATTATTATTATAACCACAAAACATAAATCACGTATCACGTCAATATCGCAAACATATGTTTCACCGCGCCATGGAACACATAATACGAAATATTGAATAAAACACCTTTTTTCTTTGAATACAGGGAGACCAGCACGCCCTATTACGCATATTAAAATATATGATTTTAACAAATATTTCGAATATTTTCACGTAGCTCCTAATTTGACGTATTGTTATTAACGGTAGGACCCACATTGGTAATGTGTCATTCAACACTAGAAAACCCATACCTCATCATGTAGAGAGGTTAGTTGAAACTCTAAGGAATCATTCTCCTGTTATTTGTTAATACTTTTATTCAATGTACTGTAAAAGATTGCGATGGTTATTTTGCGATTTGCCATTCACAAAAAAAAATGTGAATATTCGGATAAGCATGAATGCAAGTGTCATTCGATTTTTTCAAAATATGTGATGGAATCGTCCGATAATTGATAAAAATCCATAACGTATTCAAGAAATTGATTATTGTGACATTTTCTTCAAAGTTTAAAAAAAAACGCAACACGTGTTTCGCTATACAATAGCTTCTTCAGGTGTGTCTTTACCAACTAAAATCTACATATTCAAAGCTTTATATAGGTATGTTTTTACAATTTGAAGTGCCAAAATTTTGAGTGTCCTAGTTTTTACGTAGCCAAATAATATTAAATGTGTACCTAAGTTTAGGAATGAATCAGTAAACTTGAATCTTAGAGAAAAAGACAAACTATATATGTATAACAATGTGTTGGTATTTTCAGTATGTTCAAAACAATAAAGAACTGGATAATGACTGGTTAAGACTTGAATCAAAAAAGGAGGGTACTGAATTGTTTGGCAAATGCTGGTTCATTCACGAACTCCTAAAATATGAATTTTATGTTAAATTCGATGTAAGTAAAATAGGAACACCCGAAATTGCTTTACCTGACTGAAAACGACTAAAATGTTTAAGGGATCACTTTAAGCCTCTATGGGCAAGCAAGAAATGTTCCTAAATTTGGGATTGGCCATACAATGGCTTTTTCTGACAAGTTAATAAAAAATTGTCATTCTTCAGCTAGGTCCCTGATTGGCAGTTGAAACTTCAGATTTGATTTCAAAACGTGTTATTACATATGAAAAAAAATGAAAATTCCAGAAGCTTCAAATATAATCGATTTTACATATGTGTTTTCATTTGTAATGGATCCAACAGTAAAAATTTCAGAAATGCCTATTAAATCAATTCAAACCTATACTAATTTCGAATCGAACTTTAGTATACCTAAATTATATTTATCAATCAGTGAATTAGATTGAAAATGTATTTTTTCCTGATAAATTGATATCGTTTGATGTCAAAAATTTATTTCTCAGTATTCCGCCAATTGGAACAAATGAGCTAGTTGAGCGTTTCTTGAACAAAAATCATGTTAATTCTCTAATGAAACAGAAAAATTTGATTGTTTACTGTTTTTGTTCATCTCAAAATGATTTTCAATTCGACGAAAAGTTTTGTTCATGCAGCAAAGGACTAATAATGGATAGCCCGTCGAGTCCTTTGCTACCGAAATTTTCATGTATAATCTAGACAACAAAATTCATATAAATGAGTTAATTACCAGTGTTTTGTACTGATACACATACGTAGATGATATCTTAGTCTGTTTTACTGGCACATCTAGGCAATTAGATAAGTTTTTCTCTGGACTTGATTATTACGAAAATTAATAATAGGCATGATTATGCTATTTTCCACAAATCATCTTATACAGACATTGTCATACATAATTTCTCCACACCCCCCTACCAGCATAAAATAGCTGCATTCGCGATAGTATGCTCCACAGACTATTGAATATTCCAGTGCCGGAAAGTAATTTTCATAGAGAGCCGAGTTTCATCAAACAAATTGATGTCAACAACGACTACAAGGTAAATATATCGACTCCATTCTTTTCAAAAAACTACAAAAATAAGCTATTCAAGAAACGATAGCGTCCGTTATAGGACATTGTCATATTTCAGTGAATCCACCAATGCTTGGACAAAACTTCAGTATCGGATAGATCAGGAGTATATAAATTGACTTGTGTCTCTTGTCCAAAACTTTATATTGGTCAAACAGGAAGTACTTTTTCCCAGGAAAACATGAGTTCAATCATGACTATAACGTGTTACATTTGGATGAGAAAAATTTGAATTTCAATCTTTTAGAATGTTTAGAAATGAATAGATTCAAGCATTCTAGTAATTTACTGAATAGCCAAATAGAATTAATAAATAACTCCCCATTACTGAATATATTTTTAATTTTCAAACTGGCACATAAGCTCAGGTAGTTTCATTTATTACAAGTTTATTCAAACGAGTTACACTTACTCTTCTTTCCTTAGGTTTTTGTTTATTGATTTATTCCCAAAACGGTTAAACATTCAATATTGATTGTCTAGGTAAAAACTCAGTTACTAAAAATTTAGGTATTTCAAATTGTAAAAATATATTGAGCTTTGAATATATAGATTTCAGTCGGTAAAGATACGCCTGAAGAAGCAAGAGTCGCGTTTGTGTTTGAAAAACTGTTTAGTGAAAACCTCACAATGAAGTGTCTCAAATTAATTTTGTCCAATCCTGAAGACGAAGGCAGATATTGATTTTTTATACGTTGGGATAAGTTTCTGTACAAGTCCTTGGCTCTTTTTATCACAAGCAAAATTATTAAATACGATAAGTACATTTTCCTAGGTGGAAAATACTCTAAATTTACACCTTAACCCATCAGGTGACTCAAAAAATTTGTGCTTTCTATGCATATATGAATTTTTTCATTCTCAGGTTGTGGAAGGTGACAACTACAAGAAAGATATTTATTGAACGTAACACCCGCCAGGGTTCCTAAATACGAACCCTCTGAGTCGTAGGACTTCTCTCTACCAGATCGGCAACACTGACAGGATTTTGAGTTTTTGTCATCATTTTTCTTATCATTTGAGGCACAACTATTCCACTGGAGGCACTCTTTTGTTTTTACATTTGACATGTTATAATCTCGATTTTTTTTATTTGGGAAGTCATTAATGTATTTATTATTTGTTTTATAGGTTTTTTGTTCCGTGTTAAAAAAAACTTCAGTTGTCTTTTGAAAATGTCAATATTATCATTTGCCATGTGTCGTTTTGTGTATCTCTCCAAAATTTGTAAATTCAAATATTCAAAATATCCGTTGATTATCTGAATAAATATTTATTTATATGAATATTTATTCTTTACTTAATGTTATATAATTTTGTAAAATGTACTTCAGGTTTTCTGGACAAGTAATTGGTGGAATAAACTTCCGCTATAAACAATATTCAATCTGCTCCATAGATTCTTGCAAGGACAAAAAAACGCAGATGAAATTCCGCATACATGATCATCATCAACGGTTGAACTAAACCAATGATTGGAACCTCTATACTTCTTCAAGAAGTTGATATACTTCAAGTAGTGTCTGCTCAGAGTTCAATTGGATAAACACTACCAAAAAAACAAGAATAATAGATTCTCCATCTTCATACAAAAATAATTGTGGAAAATCATTGTTGAAATAACGGTTTGGTGTTGGGAAACACTCCGGTAATATTTAAATATTTATTACTTATAATAAAAGTGGAAAACATGCTTGGGGATGTTACAAATAAGACACTCTGCATAAGAAGAAGATGGGACTTCCTTTCAGACGCGACAGAGGATGGTTTTGCAGATAATGACTGCCCTCAAAGATGGCACGTGGATGTTGTGGTTGGAGTGGAGTTCGAAAGGTGTAAGCTAAAAATAAAGTTATGTTTGAAGAAATATTGAAGTGAAAGATGAGAAGACTGGCGGTCCCCTACACCAGTAATCAGGCTGGATATCGACGAGTTCGTCAGTTCTATGAAATATATGAATATGTGTATTTGTGTTATTTTCATTTGAAGGCCCCGCGAGAAGTAGGCGACCAGTGAAAAATGAAGTGTTTTTGTTAAAAGAAGAAGTGAATGAAAAAACTTCGCGTCGCAGCAGGACTGCTGCGTCCCCGGACGAAGCTTCTGTTCACTATATAAAATAAGTGGAGCCTGGCCAAATGCGCAACGGCCATAGAAATTAGAGGGAGAGAAGAAGAAGGAGAAAATAGACCCCTGTCACCTGTCACAGTATTTCTGTATATTTACGAATTGTGCGAGACGCGAGAGGTAGTTACTACTAGAGATGTCATGGAAAATAAGGGTTTTAAGAGTTGAATGAGAATTATTGTTATAACAATTGATTGTATGAAATAAGTCAGACAAGGAGAGTGTATAATGTCGAAAATAAGTGACCATGATTTGTATGGCACTAATTTCTCAATAGAGTCTATGAAAGTTATAGCAGAAAGTATAGGTATAGGATATTTGGCTGATGATGCTGCAAAGGAGCTTGCTGAAGATATATCATTTCGATTAAAACATATAATTCAAGATGCAGCCAAATTCATGAATCATGCTAAACGTATAAAACTTATGCAAAGTGATGTAGATGCAGCTCTAAAGGCAAAGAACATTGAGGTAACTGAAAATAATTGTAAAAATCTTCAGTCCCTTCATAAATTAGTGAAATAATGATTAGGAATAATGTTACGAAAGTTTATTGGTAAATATTGAAAGTAAAGATATAAATATGTTTTTGCAGCCTCAGTATGGCTTCCAATCATCAGAACCATTACCCTTTCGGTTTGCATCTGGGGGAGGAAGGGAACTACATTTCATTGAAGAAAAAGAGGTTGACCTGAATGATTTACTACAAAATACGAATCCAAAGGCCCCACTTGAATGTACACTGAGGTCTCATTGGTTATGTATTGATGGTGTCCAACCAACAATCCCTGAAAATCCACCGCCTGTAGCAAAAAATGCCCAGAAAGTAAGTCGGAATATAATATTTTCTTTTGTTATTTTTGATACTATAATTTTTTAGTTAGAGTCTGTGGATCCAGTCAATAAAAAGCCTGTAAAAGAAACTTCAGGCAAACCAACTACTGGTAAACAAAAATTACGAAATGTTGAAACGGTTCAAATTAAGCAACTTGCCACACATGAACTATCTGTAGAACAACAGCTGTATTACAAGGAAATAACTGAGGCCTGTGTTGGCTCTGATGAAGCTAGAAGAGCAGTATGTTTCATCACATCTCTTAATTTCTGTCCATCACATCTAATATTTGTAGGAAGCTCTGCAAAGTCTTGCATCTGATCCAGGACTCCATGAAATGCTACCTCGAATGTGCACTTTTATCATAGAAGGTGTAAGAGTAAATGTGGTTCAGAATAATTTAGCACTTTTGATATATCTAATGAGAATGGTAAAAGCAATATTAGATAATCAATCCTTGTATTTGGAGAAATATGTGAGTACTTTTCAAAAATATATCTTTTTTTTTTGATAACTATTAAATTTTCAGCTTCACGAATTGATACCATCAGTAACAACCTGTATTGTATCAAAACAACTTTGTATGAGACCTGAATTAGATAATCACTGGGCACTAAGAGATTTTGCATCAAGACTTATGGCTCAAATTTGTAAAAATTTCAATACAAGTACTAATAATATTCAGACAAGAGTGACCAGAATGTTTACAAATGCCTTACAACAAGATAAGGTACCACTATCCTCTCTGTATGGAGCTCTTCAAGGACTCTCAGAATTGGGCACTGAAGTAACCAGAATATTTATTCTTCCAAAAATCAAAGCCATAGGTAAATTGCCAACTCAAATAGCAGCAGATAGATATTTTGGAGCCTGAATTGATTAGACTTGATGTTGAATGCTTAATACAAATTTAAGGGGTAGCTGTAATATTCAAATCCTCAATAGGCTAGGTCAGGTCATCAATCCGGACCGCGACAGCCAATGATTTACTGTCATCAATCTGGCCAGCGACAGCCAATAATTACCTAATTGTTGTTACTATTGCTGTGATAAGTTGAAGAAGAAAACACAGAATGATAATTACTCGGTTTTATTTACTTGCAAGGTAAAACTTAACGACAGAAATGATGACAAAGAAAACTTAAGTATCTAAGTTCACACATATTGATTACTAACAAATAATTGAAATGAATCACAGTAAAACAAAAACACTAATGAGATTTATGTAATTGTGATTTTCCACCGACAATGCTTTGTAGTTGTGGATCGATTTTACTTACATCAATTATCAAAAGAGATTTAAGATGCTCATCGGTTAATTGAGATCTGTAAACATTCTTTGTGTACTTCATCTTGGAAAACGTTTTCTCACACAAGTAAGTAGTACCAAAAACAGAAAACAACCCACGAGTAAATTTATGCAAATTATCAAATTGTTCCAGTGGAAGACTCTTATAAAATTCTAACAAATATGAATTTTGATATTTGTTCTTAAGCATATCACTGCACCGTAAATCAATAATTTCCATTTGGACTTCCGGAGCCAGGGTTTCAATGTCAGAATCAAAAGGATTTTGAAAAAGCTCAATTTCATTTGCAATGACATCAAAATCTGAAAAACGAGTATCAAAATTTATCTTCAAAGCACTCAAAGTTTCGATTGCAAAATTGACGGGAAATACAGTCTCTGTAGTGTGGCTGAATATTTCACATGTTTCAAAATGTGTGAAACATTTTTTACGTAATTGCGATTGAAATAGTATTATTTTCTGCCTGAAGGATTTGATATTGGTGTATAAATCAGGGAGAAGCTGATTTTCTCCTTGTAATCTCAAATTCAGTTCGTTCATATGATTTGTCAAATCGATATAGAAGGCTAAATTTCGATCTCCGCTCTAAGTTCAAAAAAGCGCTTAAGGACTTTTCCGCAACTAAGCCAGCGTATGGCAGTATAATATGGCAAATCATTTTCTCCAATCTGTTGAATAAACTCGCGGAATTGTCGGTGATTCAGCCCAGTGGATCTGATGAAGTTAACAACTGATATGACTGGTTTTAGAACTTCAGACATATCCAAACATTTTCCGCACAAGAACTGTTGATGAATGATACAATGTAAGACTAATTGTTTTGAACCACCATCATTTTCTACAGCCTTTGTCACAAGTGCAACTACTCCTTTATTTTTACCATACATATTTTTGCCTCCATCAGTTGTTATAGATTTCAAATTTCTCCATCGAAGGTTCTTTTTATTAATGGCATTTTCAACTCCCTTAAAAATATCTGCCCCAGTTGTCGTGGCGTGAATACTATGAATATCAAGAAGTTCTTCATACACTTCATAGCTTTTATCTACTCCGCAAATAAAAATCAACACCTGAGCAGTATCTGACACATCCGTTGACTCATCCGATGCTAGAGAAAACCACTCATGATGTCCATTTTTGTCAGACAGTTGAGATGATATATTTTCTGCGATGTCTTGCACCCTCTGAGCCACGGTGTTTGCTGACAAACTGACACTTTTAAATAAATTGATTCCATCGGTGAATGGTTTGCCACGTTTTCCGATTTCAAGAGCCACACGAAAGCTGGCGCGAGTTGCAGACTCTTGTTCAGTATTCGCTTTGGTAAACAAAGATTGCTGCGATTTGAGTCCGCGTTTCAAAGCTTCAAATTTTTCCTTCCGCAAACTTCCTGTATACTTGGAGTAACTTTGAAGATGTTTCGATTCATAGTGTCGTTTAAAGTTATAGTCTTTGAGAACAGCTATGGTTTCATTACAAATTAAACATAGCGCCTTATTACTGGACTCAATCACAAAATACGGAAAGTTCCATTTTTCTTGGAACGTTCTGCATTCACTGTCGATTTTTCGCTTCTTTTCCATACTAACAAATCACACATAAAAACAAAAAGTCAAATCAAAATACTTTTATTGACGGGTGTTACTTTATTTCACAATAGACAGTTTCGCTTCCTTCACCTCTCCTACACAGACTAACTCGCAGTTGCGCTGCTAGCCTTTTTATATGCAATTATTACTGCCAGAACCAGAACTTTCTCGAACCAACGCGGTAATTCCAAATATTTAACTATGCCTAATACCACCTAGCGGGTAGCTGAAAAAGATAGTACAGTGGAGTCCCGATAGTCCGAAACGATCGGGACCGGACCCATTTCGGATTAACGAATATTTCGGATTAAGCGAAATCATGACCAAAATTAATGTTATAATGAAATACAATGTATATTTATACAAAATGGGATATACAGTAGTCATAAGTACAGTTTATTTTGTTTTATCCGTCTAAAACTTACACATTATGTTTATGAAGTGCGTGACGAGTGAGAAATGTTCCTCATACAGTAATAAATGTTGTTTTCTATATTACTGTATCACAGTTCAAAATACGCTCAAAATACGCAAAATACGCTCAAATTGTTCTGTTCTGTTAATTACACTTATCTTTGTACATACTGTAATCCTTAGTATGTATATATTGCAATACATTTCTTCTACTTTTCTTTCGGATTAAGCGGACTTTCGGATTACCGAAGTTCGGATTATCGGGACTCCACTGTACATAGTACCACTACTTAGATAACGCACTTTGCGACTATCCTACTCTAGAAATATACTTAAGGGCAGAAATTGGCCCATGGAACAAACTGAAAAAGAAAAAATCATTATGGCTCGAAGGCTTCAAAGTTTGGAGACCCCTGGGCTAGGTGAAAGTTCTATCATTTTTGAAAAATATTTTTTTACATGCTTTGTTGTAACATTTTGTATGCCTAGTTGTTTGAAACTAATTTTGAAAATTGAACTATATGTATGGTGATTCTCAGTTTTGTAATAAATTATTTTTCATAATACCATAACTGTTAATGGTAAAATATTTTATATCTTTATAAAATGATATGTGGCAATTTCTTCACAAGAAAGTTATACTTTTGCCTAGCAAAACTAAAAAGAAAAGGACAAACAAAATGTCACCGGCAGCAAGAGGTTGCATATTTCAATGAGAATCTAGAAGTAGCTTCGAATTGGGGTGAAAGTAACCAGGTTTAATTCAATGCCACAAAAACCCAAGCATCAGTTTTCTCCAAAAAGATAAATGCCTTCGAATATCACTTGCAACCTTGATAGTCTGGAACATCTAAGAAAGGTTGGAGATTTGTCTCTGTTCTATAGATACTTTCACAGGAAGTGTTCAAATGACTTGGCACATTTGATTCCACCAAGAAAGGTTTATATCAGAAATACGCGACGAACTGTGGCTGCTCATCGTTTTGAGGTTTAATTCAGTACATCTCGAGCTTCACTTCAAGAACTCTTTCATTTGGAGAATTGCGTTTATGTGAAATAAACTTCCTGAGAACTTTTTCCAAATTGATTTAATCTCCTGCGATTCATCCAATGTGAATCACTAATTTTGCACAGGCACTACTCTTAGAGCGCCTGAAGATTATTCTGTAGTGCTTGTGTTTTGTCCTTGAAGAAAACATTTCTCACATAATAGGTAATACACTAGTTTTTATAAGAGCGCCGGGCGGATATGCCTGGCTGTAATATTTTTCAAGTTTGGAAAAATTCAAGCTAACATATTTTTCAAAACAGACAACATGAAATTTCACAATAACCATGTGAGATAATTATCAATTGTGCAGGCACATCCATAAATTAGTGCAGATCATGTGGTGCTATTGCATATGTTTAGTTCTTGTAGATATGAACACTGATTTATAACTGTAGATTCAATGTTTGCTAATACTTATATCAGACCCGGGCAAGAGTAATACTACAAGTCAAAACACTACTTTTAGACTGTAGCAGAATGTCGTGGAATGAAGTTACTTATTCAAAATGCAAGAGTTTAACTCTTATATTTTATAAAGACTATATTGATTCCAATTTGTTCAGTTTAAAGAAGTGATGTTATTCTTTCTAGTCGATGAATATATTTGTCTCTCATTATACCATTATAGTACCAATACTTCATAATATTCAAGTTGCTGTAGCAAGCGCCAAATGTGATGGTGAACGATCAAGCAGGTATAGACTCTCCCAACTAACATACTATTGGATTACGATAAGTCCCTTGCCGGCCAGTGCCGTACCTATAATTAGTTTTGATTAGGTAGCAAATGGAACATGACTTCTTTGTTAATTCTTTACATATTTTATTTTGTATTATAGGTAATAGTACACTTCGTTAAAATGTTACATAATGATACACTCATGATGTTAGGCGATGACATTTTTTAAAAAACAACACGAATTATTCAGACAATGCCAAACACCAACAGCATTGGAGCACACGTATTGATAGGCCTATGTACAGAGCATTTGTATGTCTTGCCAGAACTGTAGTGGGGCTTACATTGAAAATGAGTTTGTACTCATGGGAGCTTGCTATAATAATCTTGGTAACAAAAACTCCCTAATAGTCTTGAGTTATGGTATATCTTTCTTCTTGAGATGGGGCAACATTAACTTAGCAAAGGCAAAACTGAAATCAATTGCGGAAATCTCTTTGTCTGTTTTAAGCTTTCTGTTGTAAATGTTATTATTAGTATTGAAATAGTATATCATACAACTTCAAGCTTTCAGTACCGTCAAGCAAGTTCAAATAGTATGCTTTGATGATCAAAGCTCCCATTATTAAAGGACTCTCTGATGTACAATCATGCTTATATGAGAGTAGTTTAGGATAGTTGTGAATTATTTTTTATATTTTTTGAATTTTTCTTGTTTATAGCATTTCTATGTTATATGGTGAAAGATATTTTTTCAAGTCAATAATATTTTATCACATTTTCAATTTTGTCAACAAGAACTTTTTCTTATGACAATCTAATTTAATCAAACAATTTTAGGTGCTCGTGTTGAATCACATCTAGAAGGAAATCTCATCTCTAATATAGACAGGATAGCATCTGGCCACATAAAACAGTTACTAGTAAAAGTGCTGGCACCAGTCTTGAAGACTATACGGGGTCCACCTGATAACTTGGAGGAGTATAGGCAAGAGTACGGTTATTTGGGAATAGCTCTGCATGCTGCTGTCATTAAAGCCAGAACCCAGCCAAACCCAGTTACTACCGTTCCTTCAAGTATGACTACTAGTCCAATAACTTGTAGTTCATCTATCACAAGAACCGTTACAACACTGAGTGGTATTATTCAACAGGTTAGTTATTTTAGTAGAAAGTAACAAGAAGTTTTAATCTAATATAGCTATAACATTTAAACATTACATAAGGACATATTGTAAAATAATAGGTAGGGCTAATTGTAAACTTAATTTAGGGTGGTATACCTGTATGGTTTACCTGTATGATATATCTGTATAGCATAAATAGCTTTAGTTTCGCGAAGTTTCCAGTTTTATCTTCCTCTTGAAGATGATCACTTGGTGATCAAAATACGTGTCGAGGTGTTAAAAATAACGATTTGGTGTTGGGAAAAAACTCCAGTAATATTCTTTAACTACAAGGAATTATTACCTTGCATAATGAGGGTTATTAAAATAATTCCTAGTACTTCCTTATTGTCTTATTGTTATTTACTACCTGACTTTACTTAATCTTTACCTTATTTTCTACCTGTTACTTACCTATGAGTGCCATTAGGAATGGGACATTTATCACCGTTCACAGATATCATTCCACATTTTTTTATTTCTAAAGTTTCGAAGACATCTAAAAACTCACCAATTTCAAACATTTCTTACTTATACTGTGGTCGTTCTTTATGGCATGTTGAGCAACAGTGGACTTCTGTAGTCTATTGAATCGAATATGTGAAACGTGCTTTTAGAAATGAGTTACTACAGTACGCTTAGTTTGACCAACATATTTTTGTCGCAATCTTCACAGCTTCTTATAACTAGAATATCCAAGAATTTCATTATGTCACTTATTATTTTTGTTTCAGCAAAACCCTACTGCTGGAAGGACAATTGTGATGAATCCAACACCTAGAGTTCAAAACCCACAACAAAATCAAAAGTTTGTGTATGTAACTCAAAGACCTCAGAGCACAATGGGCACTTCTCACCAGAATCAGCAGTCTACACCTTCACAAAATACTGTGGTCAAATTCATGCCAAACAACCCCAATAGTCAACAGAAAATTTCAACTCCGCAGAAATTAATGGTAGTGTCTAATCAATCCAATCAGTCTAATTTCCAAGGACAGAATTCCGGTGGACAACCACCTGCCTTATTAATTTCTAAACAGAATTATGCTATTCAGCAACAACACCAGCAGCAACAACACCAGCAGCAACAACACCAGCAGCAACAGCATCAGCAGCAACAACATCAACAACAACACCAACTTCAACCTGCTACTCTTGACGATCTTTCCCATTTAGTGTAATTATTAGCGAGTGATATAGAAAATTTCGTTACTGTTTTTACAAATATAAATGTTTTTCATACTTTATTAAAGTCTATCGTCAAAAAGAGTTGAGAGATATTTTCTTCTGAACTACAGACTGTTATATTCTGAGGAATATTCTAATGTCAATAAATTGATGGATGTAGCCATTACTACGGTAGGAAATCATGAGAAATGAAACTCTATGTTTTTGTACCAGTTATATTTGTAACTAACGTTACTGCAGGTTCGTCGTATAAAAACATTCTCAAACGAATACAATAAACTGTTTATTGTATTTATTTGAAAATGTTCTTGTAACATTCATGTAATGTTCAGTAACATTAATTACAAATGCAAGTGGTAAAAAACATTAGAAATTTTTATTTCTCATTTTTTCTTAGAACTACGTAAATTAACAATATTGATAATGACATTCACTATGGTTGTAGAGTTCTTCTGATATATCGGGTAGGGCAATATTCAGGCCTTTTCTTGGGAAAATGATTTGTAGAAAAAATATTTCAGAGTTCATTCAGATAATATGGTTTTCCATTTCCAGATAATAAAGAAATGAAACTAAATACCTCTCAATACAATATAAGCTTTCTTTGCTAGCATTTATCAAAGCACTACCAATGCAACACCTATATATTAGTGCAACAATACAAAAACATCCACTGCACAGCAATTCAATATAGCCAACTATAGTTAAAAAACAAGAAACAAAACGAATTCCATAAGAGTTACTGTAGTGCTTTGCAGCCATCTAATGAAAATACAAATGACACAATCAAGGGAATCCATATTTGGAATTTGATTTCTGAAAATGGGACAACAGTGTTTCTTGCCTTGTTGAACGCAAAGGTACATTAAAACCAATTTTACCAACTAGTTCGGGACAGTCTTAGTGATGGTTCAATATTTTAAACAATGTCAAAAGATCTCTGGTTTGAACTGAAAGAGGTATATTTTTATGAGAGATCGACTTGTAGGAAAGAAAGGCTCTGGCTTTTTACTTCTTTATGCAAAAAAAAGTAGAAATCTTCCAAAGAAAGTAATTAATTGCTAGAATACTGATGTCTCAATTCTAATGGTTGAACAGATAATTGTGACTCCAGAGTGGAATACTCTCAATTTGCATGTATTTTAAAAACAGCATATTGCAAAAATCTTTGCCAATCATTTTCAATTCTGTATACATGAATTTTATAAAAAGGTGACCATATGGTACTGTACTATTCCAAATGAGACCAAGCGAGAACAATATAGTGCTCGGATTGAGTGAAGTCCTGTGTCTTTCGTTTCACAAACACTAAAATGTTCATGGCTTTATAACTGTTGTAATGTGATGGTCAAAGGTCAAGGCAGTATCAAGATAAACCCCTAGGTCCTTCACTACTGTCCTTCACTTCTGTTACTCTTAATTGATGTGATATTCAAATTCAATAGGCTGTCTACAGCGATAGAAGTACATTGAATGGTATTTCTGAATTTTGAGAACCATTCAATTTATTACACACCAATTTAGTCTAATCAAGGCATCTTGCAGAAATACAGCATCTGCTACCGAGTTAACTGTGGAGTACTCATATATGATAGCATTTCAAGACATTCCTTTTCTGAGAATTGCTTGCAACAGCACTCGCTCCCAAAGCACCATCTGTCCAGGTACTATAAGGTAAGTTAGGGTCTCCAAACAAATAAACACATCTGATTCACTCAGTGAATTAACTTCGTTGGTATATGTAAGATAATGGTTCAATGACCATTTAAGTGGGAAATATATTGCTCCTATAACAGCATTCTCCAAGGACACAAATAGTTTTTCCAGTGAATCATTACTTGGAAAAAGGAAATTGCAGATAGATTTATAGACAGCAACAACCACACCACCTTTCAGGGATTTAATACTAGTTGAAATAGAGCGATCTTTTCTGAATAAAAGGAAGTTATCCATTTCAAGTTCTGTGTCTGAGATATCACCATGCAACCATGTCTCTGTGAAGAAAATAATTTAATAAGAGCTGGAGTGTATTGCTCAAATTATTTCAATTCTGATAGTAAACAAGGTATTGTTTCCCAATAGATGATGAATTTAGTTTTTTTTACGATTTTGGGGGCGTTGTGTACATACCGAATAACCAGATCTACCTCATCATTTTCTTCATGTTGAGTGAGTTCAGATTTCAGGTTGTTCTACTGTTAATAAAGAGAATATTCATTTATTGAGGATTTCATATACAACATCTTTCTAGCTTACACTATTTTGAATTACTACATGAACACAATTTTTGCGATAGTCAAAGGCCATGGAATGTCTCAAACAACTAAGCCCAAGTTCATGTGGTACATGGTTATTTGTATTCAGTTTTCTTGTCTATAGTTCTAGAGCTGTATTGAAAAATTACATTGTTATGAAAACATGATCAATATAGAAGAATGTAAACTTTCACGGCCGGAGATAAGTGTATGAATGCTGTTTTTCGGCTGTGGTCTGCAGAGTTTTATGGCTGACGTTTCGTCTACTGCTGCGGTATACATTTTCTAAGGGGATGTGGTAACGGTCGTAATACCCGAGGTGGTGCTCGGGTTCTTGTTCCTGCTGTATCCAACGCATTAACTACTATTTCAGTACTGGGCGCTCTATATCGTTCTTAGTTGTATAACCTGTTCGCGTTCGTGTACCTTTAAGGACATGATGCTTTATTATTATTATATGGGCTTCCGATCTGTTAGTATATTCTCTTAAAAATTTTGAAATTATTCGAATAATACAAAAATAAAATTGGACCCAAAACAGATCCTTGTGGAACTTCACAAGTAATAGTTTTGACAAACTGGAAACTTTATTAGGCACATACCGTTTTCTATTAGATACATTATTTTCAATTCATCTATGATTCCTATGAACACAAGGCTTTTTAATTTTTTCAAATTGAGCTATAATAATCATCAGTGTGAAAGCAGGCACGAGTTCGAGCCATGGATTTGTCGATGCGAAGCGGGAGATCCGATAATCAGCGGCTCCCAAAATACGGAACAAATTAATGGCCAGCCATGAATTTACTGAACAACCTGAAATGTATGTGATTGAAAACAAGTATAACAATAAATCCTCCATATCAAAAATTGTCGAGAATATCAAGTCATTAGAAATATAAGTTTAAAGAAAATCCATGATTCATCAAATCCATAGTTTTCAAAGGAAAAACTTCAAATCATCCAAATATTTTGTGGGTTATGAGGGTTAGATCGCAGTGCACCTGATGATTTTCTGTCCCGAATTATAAACCACAGTTCTGTCTGTGTGAATGTATAATCCAAATAGCAACTTGCAGAGATCGGCCTTACTTTGTTTTAACCTTGTATATACATATACTGGACATCCTAACACTTGTGAACGAGTGTTCACAATGTTTATGAGTGCGTTAATATAAAATAAGGATATTTCACAATCATTACAAATTCAGTTTGTCAGTTAATATATTAAGCCTAGCTATTATTCAACCATTTTAAAGTAAGTGAGTTTACTTGAAACTGGTTTAATAAACCGAAACCGGCCGTAAAATTTTTCTCTCTTCTATATTCAATATGAATTTCTACAAAATAAATAGGCCATCAATCGAATAAGACAAATCAAAATAAAGATACGAGAAAATTCATGCGTACAAGAAATGAAATTTTTTAATTACATTTCGAGACATTCATATCACCCAACATCTCTACACGGTATGTTTTGGTTTCCTTCTGAGTATTTGATATGTGGGCTATTTCTTTCCTGCTTGTGGCTTTGATGACGAAATGAATCTGTTACTAGTTAAGAACCTTTCTCTCAAACAAACGTTTCATACATGGTAGAGTATCTTTGAAATTAATCGTGTCTCAGACACATTGCTGTTTGAGTCGGATCTTTCCTGCACCGATGGGAGGTAATACTTCGAAACCGGACTGTAGGAGTTCTCGAATGATTTCAGCACGGTCCTGCTGCTGGATAAACGAGAAACATCTGCGAGACTAACTTCTGGGAGGTATTTGCTAGGAAAGAAGTTGTTTTCCGGCAGGCATTTACCAAAACATATTGTGTAGGTATGTTGCAGTGTTTCGAAATTGTATTTCCTTGATACAGTTTAAATTTTTTTGCTACGTACCTACATGCATAAATACATAAATTGATGAAAAATGGTGAAAAAATTAAATTTTTCTCAATAAAATTCGCAAATCTTGCGACAAGCTTTCATATCATGAAAATTCGTAATCATTTTAATTTTGAATTAATTTTTTTATTGGAACATGTGAATGAAAGCTTGTTTTCAAAAGTTTTCAATATAAAAAATGTTAACGATACATTNGATATTTACTCGGGTAACATTCATGAACAGATCAAAAATCTCACTGTCGGATCGGATGAAATAAAGAAGGCGGCTGTATACCTCTTTAAACAAGCCGATGAAAATAAATGCTACAAAATTGTGCAAATTATCAGAAGAAATTTAGGTGGTTTCCTTTATTTTCTCAAACCAAAAATTAATATACTTCAGAATATAGTAATTCGAAAATGTGATATAGATAATGAAAACTATAATTTATTGAATAACATGTTTAACGCAAAACATGTTTAGCAAGACTCCGATTCCAAATTTGAAAAAAAAGTCACACCACAATTACCAGATTCTTTACATTTGGATATTGTACCTGTAGCTAGTGACACATCAGCAAATATTAGTAATGTCAATAACTTCAAGGGAATACGAAATAATCTCAGAGAAATTGAGAATACGGACGAGAATGATTTTACAAGTATAACCTCTGTTCCCTATTTCGATAGGAACGTGATAACGTTCACGCCAACGTTCACTATTGGTACTCCAAATGATGTAATATCAGATACTCCAAATTCCTTCAATAACAACTCTAACTTTATCCGATCTTGAGAAATATCAGCAAGTAACGAACAAATACAGCAAACATTTCTAGAACTCCATGATAAAATATCAAAAAAGGACACTATTATTCCTATCAATTCGACAAATATTAATTCAGATAATTGGACTAGACCATCCTATAGAGATTGTAGATTCTTTGACGGTTGTTTCAACATTAACTAGTCATAAGGAACTTCTAACAATTTCAGAGGGGAAAAAGTTAAAATTAGGTTACACGTATTTTTTGGAGCAAAAATTTTTAGAATTCGTTAATAATGTATGTGTAATCAATTTCAAAAGTTATAGGTACAATGTTAAAAATGATTTATTCACGGTGTATGCGTATTGTGCCCACAATTGTAAAAAATTTCAAATTTTCATTCATCATGTAAACCGCCTCAAAGACCATAAAGTTGAAGTTTTGAGTTCATGCCGGGATTATAATCACTCGAAAGATATGCGAAAGGGGTTCAAAGACAAATTTTCATGCAAAAATTAAAAAATATCAAACCATCATTATTTCGCGATAAAACAGTTTGTGACTCCAATATAGCAATAACGCAAAGTGGTAATCTCCAGAATATAAAATCCGATGCAGTTTTCAGAAAAATTCGTTCTGACGATGATATTGTAGATCTAATTTTAATGCAGAGGGATAACCCTGCATACATAAAAAGTGTTGGCCAACTACTCCATGTATATTTATATAGTGATAAACAATTAGAAATTATTGAGAGATGTAGTTCTAGACCTGTTCTTCATTTTGATGCAACTGGAAGCATAATAATACAAGGCCTGCTGAATATTACGGATAGAATGTGGTGTGACTTATTTATTTGGTCTTGGGCAGGTGCATTTATGATTAGAGTAGAAAGGGATATTCAATTTTGGGAAGAAAAAATGTTGACATTTTTATGTAAATTTTATTTATCTTTCATTTTACCAGAAATAGTTGACCCTCAGTTTGATGACGGAAGAAAAATAAATTCTATAACTTTCATAAACGATAAAAAAAACGAGTTCATTGATAATAAATCAAATACTAAACAAGATTTACGCTTTTTTCACAATGGTCTAGTTCAAAATTTCAAATATTACGATACTTGCATTGAGTACAGGAATTATGTTGTTGCCAAATACAAAGAAAATTTTTCGATAGAACTGAGATTTGAGAATTTTAAAACATTATATGAAAGACAGTGGCTATCAGACTTTGCTATGAATTATTGTTTATCATCTTTGGTAATAACGACAAATCAAGTTTACGCCATAATGCATTGCGGGAACGATTTAGAATCGACTTTTTTTGATGACCTACCTGGAATTACAAATAAATCAAAAATTTTTCTTCCCATCATAATTGGAACAGTTTTGAATCGCGACCATTGGGTCTTAGCAGTAGCCGATATGCAGAAAAAGCAATTTATATACATCGATCCAAGATACAATAATATTTCAAAAGACGCTGAAAATTATAAAGAAAAATTTCTGATATTTCTACAAAAATATAAAATCACCAAGAAAA